ACACTCAAGTTGCTTCCCTTCACCGATTCCAGTTGTTCTATTTCGGGGAACCACACTGAACATTTTCCAAACAGAAAGAGCAAAATCCGTCGGGCATTTTTATACCTGAGCACACTTGTGCACAAGGGTATTATAATTTTGTTCACATAACGGTTGTCTGTAACAGCAAAAACGAATCGGGATAGATATAGACAAATGTAAACATAAATGCTCAGAATGAATAGAGAAGTCGATTAAGCCATGTCTGTCTGTCCGTTCGTCCGTCCGTCCGTCCGTGTGCATGATAACTCGGGGAAAAAATTGAGATATCTGAACGAAATTTGGTACAGTATTCCCCACTTATTTGAATTTTTTTGTCGATAAAAAAATATTGCATGCAAAATCCATACAAATTTTCCCGCATAATTGAACCCGGTTAAATGGTTTCCCCGTATAATTTCCATGTGGCAATGAAAAGAGATATACCTTAAATTTTTCCCGGTTAATTGTTCCTTATGGTTATTTTATTTTATTTATAACAATTATCTCTAAAAATGTGAGGACAAGTACATATACACACTTACGTATGAACAATAATAAATATAAATTGTTTTTATTCCTTATATTTTTTCGTTTATAGTTTAAACTATGTATATAAATATCATTAAATTTAAAATGCACACATGCATTTTCTTTTAATTGATTAGGTTGTCCAATTTAGCGGAATTTCTGTAATTGAACGAACTGTTCAAGTAAACGAGTATCGGTTAATTGAACCTAAAATTCAGTGGCGGACCCAGGTAGGGGAAATTGGGGAAATTCGAAAACTTACTTGCGGAGCGCTTATAATGCTTTGAAAATGCTTTTGAAAATTTTAATTCATGGAAAAAGTGTGTCGAATTTCACTTGAGTTTGAAATTTTAGCTGTGTGCTAAGCTCGAAGTATTATGTTATTTAAGTAGACCTATCAGTTTTTCGAATTCACTGAATTTTCAAAATTTTTTTAAAATATGTACTTGATTTTCAACTTTTTACTTTTTTGTTATATTTTCGAATTTGTATTATTTTACACAGTTGAAAGTCACAGCAAGTTTGAATATTTTCACAGGTTCAGAAAACAACGAAAATTACAAAATTTGGAATTTTATAATATTATTAAATTTCTTGAGATTTCTTATTTTTAGGGTAATTTCCGAAATTTCAAAAACTATCGAAATCCGGGAGATTCTAGAAATCTTGGTAAAATGAGAATATTTTGAAATGTACAAAATTATTGAGATTTAAGAAATTTTTATATTTTCCAAAATTTTGAGAATTTTATTTATCGTTTAATTCATCCTAAAATGTAAAAATGTGAAACATCACAAATTGTCAAAAAATTCGAATGCTCATGTAATTGTGTGTAAAAAATAGAAAATTCTTAGAATTCTAAAAGATATTAACATTTTTGAAAAATTTGCATCTTCAAGAATTACTAAAATTTTTTAAAGTTTTCAAAAAATATGAAAATGTTTTCAACATTCGAAAACTTTTAATTTCGTTTGATCAATCTTGTATATTCGACACTTTTACTTAGAAAAAATTTGTTAGAATTCCTACAATTCTCAAAAATTTTGAAAAATAAAAATTTCTAGAAGTCTAGTATTCATCATTATATTGAATTATTGAGATTTACTAAAATTTCTCAAATTCACAAAGTTTTGAAAGTTTAGAAAATTTTGGAATTCCACTCAAGTATTAAAAAGGGGAAACTTCAAGAAATCAAAAACTATCCAAACTACAAATTTTAAATTGCGCTGATTTTTAAATTTATATACACGATATATGTTGAAAAATATATATTGATGGATTTCAATCAGGATAGGTCTCTAGTCGTGTACGTGTGCTGATAAATCGGCGATCTGTCTGTTTTTGGCACATAATATTATCGGTGAAGGTGTGAATAAAGGAGATAAAGTTCTGTAAAAATATGTCGACAAATTTTGGCGTCAAAATATGACATAGTGAAAACCAGCCATAACAAGAAAACTGGGATAAATCAGTAACTACTGAAGGTAATTCACTTTAAATCGATTATTGCAGTAACGACTTAGCAGAAAATTAGATTATTATAAATATTTGGAAATAGGCGCGGCGCCGCCCCCTTATGACCACAAATGTGTATCTCGGTAACCGATTAATGAATTTCTACCAAACTCGGTGCACTTAATAACTTTGGTATGGAAGAGTAATTCGTTAAAAATTATTCAAATCGAACTTTTCCCTCTCATCCCTTTTCTAACTAACCCAGGTCTTCTCGAAGTTAAAATGAACAACTTCCACAGCTTTCTCGCCGTAAGATCCTAATACTGGTTGTTTTCGCATGTACCTTTGGAGTGACACTAATATTTGAAACTTTGTACCTAATTTCAAATAATTTAGTATAATAACAACTCGAATTAAAACGGGCTATATAAAGAAAACTAGCCGATTTCCTCTTCGCGTTAAATGAATGATGCGTTTTCAAACGGATGCACGGTATTTCGACTACATGGAGGCAAGTGGAAAAAAGTCAGCCGCACTTAACCCCTTCCAGTGAAGAAGCGAAACAATGCCTCGGATGAGACTCCCCTTATTATGACGACCACGGAAAATGTTTAAAGGACTACGATTTGAGGGCATGCACCTGGAATGTCCGGACCATTAATGGGGAAGGTGCCTCTGCCCGGCTGGTTGATGTCCTCGTAAGAACAAAAGCTGACATCACCGCCATCCAAGAAATGCGTTGGACGGGGCAAGGCAAGCAATGCCTGGGGCCTTGCGACGTATACTACAGCTGCCATGTAAAGGAGCGCAAATTCGGTGTTGGAGTTGTGGTGAAACCAAATCGACCATATCCAGTGTTTTGGACGTACGTATACTCTGAGGCCCAAACATCGACTCGGACCACTATCGTGTTGCAGCCAAGATACGCACCAAATGTGCGCCCAAATATGCAAGGAAAGCTTAACGTCGAAAAGCTGCAATCACAACAGACAGCCAATGCATTCGCTACTCGACTCTCATACCTGCTCTCAGAGAGCACTCTTCAACAAGCGGACATATGAGAGCAGTGGAACCACATTTCCAGCTCATTAAGTACCGCCGCCAAAGATGAGTAGTGCCAGGAAGCTGCAGAGAAAAAGGATGCCGCGTACAGGGCCACGCTGCGATCGGGCGCAACGCGCGCTATGAGGGACCGCTATAGGGATCTGAAGTGGGAAGCAAGACGTATTTTCCGTAATAAGAAGAGAGACCGAAATATGTGAGTGCGAAGAACTTGAAATGCTGGCCGACAGGAAGAACGCCCGAAAATTTTACCAGAGAATTAGGCGGCTTACGGAAGGTTTCAAGACCAGAGCGTACTCCTGTAAGAACAATAATGGCGACCTAGTTACCGATGTTCAGAACGTACATCCACCAACCTACATGACTGTCACCAGATCGAAAAACGAGAAACCAAATCGATCATGTTGTGATAGACGGAAGGCATGCTTCAAGCGTTTTTGACGTACGTACACTCCGAGGGCCAAACATCGACTCGGACCACTATCTTGTTGTAGCCAAGAAATTCATCCGCCTCTGTGCAGCAAAAAATGTGCGCCCAACAATGCAAGAAAAGCTTAACGTCGAAAAGCTGCAATCACAACAGACGGCCAATTTATACGCCACTCGACTCACACACCTGCTCTCTGAGAGCACTCTTCAACGATCCGACATACGCGAGCAGTGGAACCACATTTTCCGATCATTAAGTACCGCCGCCGAAGAAGTAGTTGGATTTCAGCGAGCCCGAAAGAACAACTGGTACGTTGAGGAATGTCAAGAAGCCGCAGAGAAAAAAGATGCCGCCTACAGGGCCACGCTGCGATCGGGCGTAACGCGAGCCATGTGGGACCGTTATAGGGAACTGAAGAAGGAAGCGAGAGGTGTTTGCCGCAATAAGAAGAGAGAGGCCGAAATACGTGAGTGCGAAGAGCTTGAGATGCTGGCCGACAGGAAGAACGCCCGAAAATTCTACCAGAGGGTTAGGCGACTTACGGAAGGTTTCACGACCGCGGGAACTCCTGCAAGAACAACAATGGCGACCTAGTGACCGATGTCCATTATATACTTAAATTGTTGAGGGAACACTTTTATAACCTACTGAATGGTAGCAGCGCTGAAAGTAGTGAATAAGACGGATCCGAGTCCCCAGTCGATGATGATGGAGTAGCTATCTCACCGCCTGACTATGACGAGGTACGAATAGCGATTACACGGCTGAAAAACAACAAAGCTGCTGGAGCTGGCGGCCTGCCAGCCGAGCTATTCAAGTACGGCGGCGAGGAGCTGATGAGGTGCATGCATCAGCTCGTATGCGGAATATGGTCAGATGAACGCATGCCCGACGACTGGAAGTTAAGTGTGCTCTGCCCAATCCACAAGAAAGGGGACCCCGCCATACGCGCCAACTACCGCGGAATCAGCATTCTAAGCATAGGTTACAAGGTCTTATCGAGCGTATTGTGCGA